CCTTTCTCCTCTCTGTCTCTCTCACACTGTCCACTCTGCCTGTCAAAAAAAAAAAAAAAAGAAAGAAAGAAAGAAAAGAAATGTAGGATGGTTTTACAATTCTTAAATGAAATTCATGGGGCCAGCGTTGTAGAGCAATGGGTTAAGATACTGTCTGACATCAGCATCCCATGACCTGCTTATTTGAGTCCTGGCTGTTCCACTTCCAATCCAGATTCCTGCTCACGTGCCTGAGAAAGCAGCCAAAGATGGTCCAAGCACATGGGCCCATGCCACCCACATGGAAGATATGGATGAAATTCTAGGCTCAGGGCTTCATTCTGTTCATCTGGGGAGTGAATTGGAGGATGGAACTCTGCCTTTCAAATACATAAAATAAATCTTTAAAAGATAAAATTCTGACTTATTTTCACAAATAATCACAGAGCAAAAAAGGAGAAATGCATCTACAGGAAGCTCTGGCTAACCTGGAACTGTTTTTGATGTGTTAAACTTTGAAAGTCCACATGTAAACCAAAGAACAAGGTGGTGGCAGAGAGAATGCCCAAGGCACAAAACAAACTGAGGCTGGGGTGGGCATTTGGCCTAGCAGTTAAGCTGCCTGTTGGGATGCCCACATTCCATATCAGAGTGTCTGGCTTCAAGTCCCAGCTCCACTCCTGATTCCAGCTTCCTGCTAATGTGTACCTGGGAAGCAGCAGGTGATGGCTTGAGTCCTTGTCATCCATGTGGGATCCTGGATTGAGTTCCCAGCTCCTGGTTTTGGCCTTGGCCCAGCCCCAGCTGTTGTGAACATTTTCAGTATGAACCAAAGGATAATACCATCTGTCTGTATCTCTCGAATAAATAAAAATTTAAAAAATTAAAAATAAACGAAGGCTGGCCCCCAACACATATACACACGTCAATGTGTATATACATATTATCTAATTAAATATATACTTAGATTTTATATTCACTTACAGCATATCATTAGGTTTATATAACTTATGTAAATACATATTTTTAGCCATGTTCAAGAGCAATAAATTGATAGCACATGGTTTAAAGTGGTGATAGAATTTTTTCTTTTGAATCTTAGATTTGAGGGGCCAGCACTGTGGTGCAGCAGGTAAAGCTGCCGCCTAGCGTGTTGGCTTCCCATATGGGCACTGGTTCTAGTCCCAGCTGCTCCACTTCTGATCCAGCTCTCTGCTATGGCCTGAGAAAGCAATAGAAGATGGCCCAAGTCCTTGGGCCCCTGCACTCACGTGGGAAGACCTGGAGGAAGCTCCTGGCTCCTGGCTTCGGATCAGCACATCTCTGGCTATTGTGGCCAACTGGGGAGTGAACCAGTGGATGGAAGTCCTCTCTCTCTCTGCCTCTCCTTCTCTCTGTGTAACTCTGACTTTCAAATAAGTAACTACATCTTTAAAAAAAATCTCAGATGTGAAAGGTTCTCATTTGAGGACAGAACCAACTGTTGGGAAATCTCTCCTTATATTGAGCAAAATTGACCAGCCTCTCCCTGCTGCCCCAGGAATTCACAGATTTAAACACCAGAAGGGATTCTGCCTGTCTCAGAAGTCACAGAGCACACTGCTGCCATTCAGTGGGTACTACACGTGGCAAGAGATCAGGCATGAAGCAGCAGCATCTGTTGGCCACATGGTGACCTGGAGAATGTATCCCCATCAGAAGAAAATTTAATTCAAATTTAAAATTTAGGTACTGTGTTTCCCAAGCAAAATACCTTCAGCTTTCCTCTGAGGGCCCCCAGTTTGCAATCCCTGCTTCAGAGGGTTTATGAGACTCAGAAAGGTAACGTGATTGGCTCCAAACCTTGAACCAATCAGGAAAAACACACAGAAGATGTTACATACCACATACAATCACCAGGCTTGGCTGACACCATAACCCGACTCACACGCTGAGGGCTCCAAATTGGTTTTCCATTCGAGTGGTTCTACAGAAACAAACTTTGCCTTGGGGATGTGAATTCACCACAAACCTAATCATCGCCTTCAATACTGCTTCATTCAGAGGGGTACTCTCCAGACAAGGGTTCCAGGCCCATTCTGGCTGCTCTGGTCAAGGCCACGCCCACTGGGTCCCCAACACCCAAGTCTGCTCAGAGTGGAAAGAGTAAGAAGAGGGGCTGGTGCTGTGGCATAGCAGGTAAAGTCGCCGCTTCCAGTGCCAGGATCCCATATGGGTGCCGGTTTGAGTCCCAACTGCTCCACTTCTGATTCAGCTCTCTGCTATGGCCTGGGAAAGTAGTAGAAGGTGGCCCAAGTCCTTAGGCCCCTGCACCCGCGTGGGAGACTCAGAACAAGCTCCTGGCTTCTGGCTTCAGATTGGCACAGCTCCTGCCATTGCAGCAATTGGGGAGTGAACCAGCAGATGGAAGCTCGCTCTCTCTCTCTCTCTGCTTCTCCTTCTCTCTTGTGTAACTCTGACTTTCAAATTAATAACTAAGTCTTAAAAAAAAAAGAGAAAGAGAAAAAGACAACAGATCCACCTTCTCACTGGAATATCTTCTGTTTTCTGGTTTTAAACCTGTACTATCCAACCCATGTTCTATGTATTCATTCTAGAGATTGATTTTTAATTATCTGCTTACTCATTAACTCAAGAAAAGTTGGCCAGCCCTAAGTACAACTAATATCGAAGGATTTCCTGGTACCTGCTTGCCCTGAAATTAGTTGCTTTATAGTTTCTCTGGGTCAGGGAGAGAGAATTCAAACAGCTGGGCAGAAAACTCCTGGAGTAAAAACAAGAACTGGAGGGGACTGGCAGCACAGGCTTCGGTTCAGGGCTCGGCTGGGGCTGGGGATTAAGTGAGAGACGCTCCTGTGAGCTGGGCCTCACATCCCTTAGATTCATGCTGCAAAGCTGAAGTCTGCTATCCTGGCTTTCTTGTAGCCATAGCATCCACAGCAACGCAAAGCTGACAGGTGAAAATGACTCCAACAGCTGTGGGAGTTCCCTGTGTGCCTTCCGAATTAACAAGAAATAGGATAAGAATGCTACTGTGAAATATTTTAACTTCTTTGGAAAATGAGTATAGAACATATCAGTTCTGTACTAGGGTTCTCTATATTAATATTGCCAAAAGATTTAAGGAATTCACGTGTATTCCCTGCCAATATATTCTGCCTTTAACAGTAACATTTTACTATAACTCACAATTTTCTTAAGAGCAAATGTAAGAGATTTAATAATAAATGATACTCTTTTCAGTCTGTTTATCTACATTGGTCATCAAAACAACCCAAAAACAAAATTTATAACAAATTCAAATGAAACAAATTTCACTTTGGCTGAATAGGAATTAGTCTTTAAAATAAATTCCTGTAACATTAAATAAGAGCTAAGCTTTCTAACAAATTCTTTTTTAAAGACTTTATTTATTTATTGGGGCTGGAGCTGTGACATAGTGGGTTAAGCTGCCACTGCAGTGCCAGCATCCCATATGGGCACTGGTTCGAGTCCTGGCTGCTACACTTTCAATCCAGCTCTCTGCTATGGCCTGGGAAAGCCATGGAGGATGGGTCTAAGTCCTTGAGCCCCTGCACCCACATGGGAGACCACAAGAAGCTCCTGAGTCCTGGCTTTAGACTGGATCAGCTCCGGCTTTACAGCCATTTGGAGAGCGAACCAGCAGAAGGAACACCTCTCTGTCTATGCCCCTCTGTAACTCTGCCTTTCAAAGAAATAATAATAATAAATTCTTTTTCTTTTAAAAAACTAAAACATCAAGAGCTAATCTAACAAATTTTTAGAGAAATTTTATTCATTTACTTGAGAGACAGAAAGGTCTTCCATCTGATGGTTCACTCCTCAAATGGCCACATCGGACAGAGCTGGGCCAATCTGAAGCCAGAAGCTTCTTCTGGGCCTCCCACGCAGGTGCAGGTGCCCAAACATTTGGCCATCTTCCTCTACTTTCCCAGGCAACAAGCAGAGTGCTAGAATGGAAGAGGAGCAGCAGGGACTAGACCTGGTGGCCATATAAGATGCTGGCGCCACAGGCAGAGGATTAACCTAGTGCACCACAGCGCCAGCCCGTGCCAAACTCTGACATTAACCCACAACAAAGATTTAAGGCTTTTTCCTCCCCTTGTCTCCTCATTTGTAGAGACACTGACCATTCCAACCTTTCTTCCAGGATACTAGATACATGGGTATAAAGTGAAATACAGAAGATAATCGGCTTTTTCACCTCCATCATTGCCACAAAGGCTCGGAAGTGCAAAGATTCTACAGAAATGACTTTTACTTTCTGCACTGCATTAAAATATTGCAAAGTATTCGTTATAAACACCGAGGATTGGACCGCACAGGGCTGAGAACAGCTGATCTAGGGGTGTGGGTGCATGAGTGAAAATATTCTTTCTGTGCTGTTTTAGGGTCCCAGCGTGTGTCTATGAATGACCGATGACAAGTGCGTTAGATTGGGACAGGTACGCACACGCTGACGTGTGTCACACTCGAGCTTCCCGGTCTCCCGAGGGCTGTGTGAGCTGGGAACGGGCGGAAAGGCTCAGGCGGGCAGCGCTGTCTGCAAGCCCAAGGCCAACACGGATGTCGCTGCTCTTGCACACGCGGTCTGCCTCGTTTCCTCCTTACACCTCCCTAAGTAACATTGTGAACGGACCCACACCCGCAGCAAACGCTGAGAGCAACTTCTCAGACACGCACAAAGGAGCTGAGCGCACAAAATGTTCTGGTCATGACGGCAAACTTTTCTAGAAACCTAAGCGTTCGCTCACACCTGAGTCTACCGGAATCTTTCCTAGGCCAGGCGCGGCGTCAGCGCGGAAGTTTCTAGAACGCCCGAGGGCGCCATGACAGGCTGACCTGGGCAATGACCCCGGGGCTAAGCGGAAACCGGCCTCGCGTGCAAGTACCAACAGCTTATTTGGCAGAGGGGACTACACACACACACTCACGGGCCCCGCACACGGAGACACGCACACGAGTGGGCCAGCTGTCCACCGGAAAACCAAAACCGGTACCTGTAGCCGGGGAAGTCTGTAGAGAACAGGATGAAGGGACGAGGTGCGGCCGGAAAAATGGACCAGTACCTCTAAGACAAGTCCACGACGGGACAAAAAAACCCAGGAGCGACACTAGGAAGTAACGTCCCTGGCGGTCCACCTCCTTTTATGGGGTTTGCCCCAGGGCCCCGGATGCAACAGGTGCGTCACGGGGAGGCACGTGGTGTAACTGACAAGCAGAGGGGCGGGGCGGTGGCTTGTGGCTTGTGGCGCCGCAGACTTCGCTAGCTTCGTGCCTCTCCCTTATCAAACCCAGAGGCCAGCGGTGGTGACAAGGGGCCACCATAACTCAGGTAAAAAGACGAAACTCGGAGACCCCCGCCCGGTTCCCGCCCGAGGGCGGCGGCGCCCCGCAGCGCGTGCACAGCCAGGTTCAGGTCCTGCACCCCGGCCGAGATGGGGCAGGAACGCGGGTGCAGGGAAGCAACGCGGGGCGCCCCGCCGTGGGTCCCGAGAGCACGCGCGTCCGCGAGCCCGCAGGAGACGCCGCAGCCGCCCGACACCGCCCGTGAGCACCCGCAGCCGCGCGGCCACGCCGGGGTCTCCGCCGACGGCGAGCGCGGGGGCAGGGGGCGAGGTGGGGCGGGAGGGAGGACGGCGGCGGGAGACCCCGCGCCCGCGCAGCCCCGCACTCACCTGCCTCCCCGCGGCTCGGGGCCGAGGGAGCCCGCGCCGCCCGCGTCTCCTCCGAGGCCCGGGACTGCGCTCGGGGCCTCTCCCGGGCTGAGGGCGGCCCGCGGGGCGTTTTCCTCAGGACGCGCGGGAGCGCGGGACCCGGGGGACCTGGCTGGGCCCGCGCCTGGTTCCGTGCGCTGCTCCGGGCCGCGCCACAGACCCCACCGCCACCGCCGCGAGAGTGCGGGAGTGCGGGCGGCGCGGGAAGCGCTGTTCGGGGCGCGGGCGACAGGGGCCGCGGGAGCGCGGGTGCCGGGGGTCGCGGAAGCGCGGGAGGCTGTGTTCGGGGCGCGGGCCCGGGGCGGCGCGGGTGACGGGGGCCGCGGTAGCGCGGGAGGCGATGCTCGGGGCGCGGGTGACAGGAGCCGCGGGAGGCGGTGTTCGGGGCGCGGGTGACAGGAGCCGCGGGAGGCGGTGTTCGGGGCGCGGGCCCGGGGTGACGGGGGCCGCGGGAGGCGGTGTTCGGGGCGCGGGCCCGGGGTGACGGGGGCCGCGGAAGCGCGGGAGGCGGTGTTCGGGGCGCGGGCCCGGGGCGGCGCGGGTGACGGGGGCCGCGGGAGGCGGTGTTCGGGGCGCGGGCCCGGGGCGGCGCGGGTGACGGGCCCTCTGGAGCCGGGGCTGCCCTGGACGCGGCTGCGCGCAGAGGCTGGGGTGGCGCCGCGGGGTGTCGGGCCGCCGGGCTCCCGAATGTGGAGATGCGGGCCAGAGGTGTCAGGCCTCGCTTCGTTTGGTCTGCGATATTTTTCCACTCTTTGAAGCTTAGAGACCTTATGAGGAGTAGAAGAGAAAGGGGTGGGTGCACAGGATCCTCCAAGACGTGGATGAATCACAGAGGAAATGGCAGTTAGTTAGTAAGGAGCAGAGGCCGGCCCTCAGGGGGTGCTTCCTGGAAGCCTCTTGATCCATCTGTTTCTCTTGCACGTTTTAATCATCTGTGTGCTACAAGGGAACATGACCGGAACCAGCATGGACATCTCTGATACTGGTTTGAGAAAGTGATGCCTACTTGGGGGGGTGAATCAACGGAAAAAGGAAGACCTTTCTCTCTCTCTCTCTCTCTCTCACTGTCTAACTCTCCCGTCCAAAAAATGAAAAATAAAAAAATAAAATAAAAAAAAGAAAGTGATGCCTAAGGTGTGAGCATCCATGTCCTTTGCCAAGTTCAGGCCAAGTGCTAGAATCTACCACTGGGTCATCACATGCCACAATTTGAATTTATTTTTGTTTGAACTTTTTTTTTTTTTTTTTGACAGGCAGAGTGGACAGTGAGAGAGAGAGACAGAAAGGTCTTCCTTTTGCTGTTGGTTTACCCTCCAATGGCTGTCGCAGCCGGCGCGCTGATCTGAAGCCAGGAGCCAGGTACTTATCCTGGTCTTCCATGCGGGTGCAGGGCCCAAGCACCTGGGCCATCCTCCACTGCACTCCCTGGCCACAGCAGAGAGCTGGCCTGGAAGAGGGGCAACCGGGACAGAATCCGGCGCCCCGACTGGGACTAGAACCTGGTGTGCCAGCGCCGCAAGGCGGAGGATTAGCCTATTGAGCCGTGGCGCTGGCCTTCTTTTTCTTTTTTTTAAAGATTTATTTACTTATTTAAAAGGCAGTTATAGAGAAAGAGAGAGAAACAGAGATAGTCCATTTGCTGGCTCATTCCACAAAGGCCGGAAACCCTGGGACTGGGCCAAGCTGAAGCCATGAGACTGGAACTCTCTCCGGGTAGCAGGGGTAAAAGTACTTGGACCATCTTGTGCTGCTTTCCGACACATTAGCAGGGACTTCTGTTGGCACTGGAGCAGCCAGGACTCCAAATGGTGCTCATATGGGACTCCAGCGTCCTAGGCAGAGGCATAACCCAGAGTGCTACAGTGCCAGGCCCCTTACCTGAAATTTTCTAAGGGGAAAACACAGCCTGGTATTTAAATTTGAAGCGGTCCCAGCTGACTTTGTCTATTTTTTCCTCACCATGTTCGAACACTGACTAAACTGGCCAACCTTGGGCTGTCAGCATAAATGACCACTCATTAGGATGCATTCCCAGCCACCCAGCCAGAGCCAGCTTCCCAGTGACTCCCTGAAGGACTCATCAGGGCTTGTCTTTGCCTTGTTGCCTGTGCACTGCCACTCCGAGTTCAGCTCAGTGACAGCAGACACCTGCCTCCTTCAAGTCTGTCACTAAATGGCACTCCCAGTTCAGCTCAGTAACGACAGACACCTGTCTCCTTCAAATATGTCACTAAATGACACGTGGGTGGATCAGAATCAACAGATCACTGCGTGAAAGGTGGTGGATCGACCCTGACCATCTTACTTGAACCAGAAAGATGAGGCCTGTATTCTCTTGGCCACAGTTGATGAAAACCAGTTGGAGAATTCAAAGTGGCTGTGTTTCTGGAAGGGGGACTTTAACTCCGAAAGTATGCCCGGGAGTTTGGTGTAGCAGAGGCCCCCTCCTAGCACTGCCTGCCCCTAGAGCAAGGGCACATGACCCAGTTCTGTCCAGTGGAGCTTTAGAGAAAATTCACCAGGGGCTCCTGGGAGAGACTTGAAAGTTTGTGTTCCACCGCCACAACTTAAGGTCAGCTGAACATGTAGCTGTTAAGCCATGCAGCCTGGCTTAGGCAAACCAGGCCTCTGGTGCATAGAGTGATTCAAGCACCAAATAGCGGTATGCAAGGACTGACGGTAACAAGGTACCACAGACTGGGTGCTTAAACACAGAAATGTCTTGTCTCGCAGTTCGGGAGCCTGAAGTCCAAAATCAAAGTGTTGTCAAGACCAGGTTCTTCGGAGGGCTGTGAAGGAGGGATGGCTCCAGCTTTTCTCTTTGACCTGCCAACGGCTGTCCTCACTGTCACGTGATATTCTCCCTGTGCACCTGCCTCTCTGTGCAGATTTCCCCGTTTTGTAAAGGTGCCAGTCATGTTGGATTAGGACCTGCTCTAATGAACTCATTTTAACTTGAGTACCTTGTAAAGACTCTGTCTCAATAAGGTCACACTCCAAGGTACTTTAACAGGAATTTTGAAGATGACACAATTCACACAGCTTTCTGTATATTCATTAGTCTTCGTTTTAAGGGCTCATTCATGTAGGCTGGGCTGGGGTCAACTAGTGAGGCAGCCAATGGAAACTTTTGCAGGATGTAACTAGAGAGAGAGAGGCAAGGCTGAGTGCCCATGTGCTCCATTAGGAGTGGACCTAGGCAAACCTCATGGGGCTTGCAGGGAAGCACAGTGACTTACACTGGACAACGATGAAGTTAAGTCTTATTACAGGGCAGGACCACCTGTCAGTGGGATTATCAGCAGGAATTTTCATGAGAGAAAGGTTCATGGAGTCTTAGAGCATCCTAAAGACCCAAATCACTGATTCCTAGCTTCCCTTACAGATCAGGACCATGCGTCAAAGACGTCCAGCCTGTTACCTCCCTGTGCCTGAACTTATTTCTCAATGATACCCTGTGGACCAAGGCCCGTGGTCTACAAATACAATGGCTTCTTCTCCTTAGACTGTAACCTCCTAGACATTCATTTACTCAGTGAATGCCTTTGCATACCAGCATGTGCCGGGTACTCTGTTGGCAGAACTGAGTTATCAGTTTAAGTCCTGGCCAAAAAAAGAAAAAAAAATGCCACCCAGGAGACTCTATTCAGAATCCCTGGAACACAGGGAATGGGCATGGAGCATAGGAAGCAAAGGAGCAAGTGCAGAAAAGGAGGAGTAGATGGGTAGGGGTGCATGATGTGGGCCCTTTAAGCCGTGATAGAGACTGACATGTTATTCCAAGAATAAATAAATAAAAGCATCATGTTCTGATTTGTGTTGTAAGACAGCCATTCTGGTTATACTGTAGAAATAGAATGCAGAGGTGCAAGAGTAGGAAGAGTAGTAACAAGGCACATTAGGTAAGGTTCCCTGGGAGACAGACTCCAGGATCAGATGTTTAGAGCCCCGGGGCCCGGAGGAGGATTCGCTTGGGTGCTCTTAGAATCTTCATATTTTGTGATAACTGTGACAGGTGAATCACAGTCTGGCCAGGCCGAGGCAGCTCAGGGCTCAGACCCTTCAGAGGCAGCCGTGTGGGTCGTCCCACTGCCAAGCATCTGAGGCCAAAGACCAGCCAAGGTCTGAGGACACAGAATGTGTGAGCAGCTGTGCCATCCCCCAGACCCTCCAGGTGAGAAAGGACAGGGAAGGGAGAAGAGGCAAGAGGAACAGGAACTTTCGAACTCGTCGGCCCCATCGTAAGCCGGCTTTGCCTTCTCTGAGCATGGCCTGAGTTGCTCTTGTGTCTTGTGGGTGCTTCTCAGCTCTTCAGACACCTCGCCTCACTGGTGCCTTCCTGGGGCCTCCACCCCTCTGAGAGCAAGCTTCTCCAGTGTGGTTCTAGTCTCGGCAGTGGGGCAGGTCAGTCCAGCTGCCACCTGCCAAGGTCCTGCAGCTGCCCTCCCGCCTCCACCTCCCGCCAC